ACAAGGTCTGCTGGAAAAAGGTAGGCTTCATTTCAATCTTCCTGCCCCCCAGGATATCTAATGGTCCGCCCCTAAAAACAGACGACCTTGCTGTAGTGACTGTCTTGGATATTAATTTAAAAATTACTTTAGAAAATGATAAAACCAAACGTGACAATTTGACTTTTCTCTTCCATAATTAATTAATATAAATCAATATAATTTTAAAAATTATATACATATGTCAGGGCATAGTTGCTGACACTGAATATCATAGTGTTCTTTGCAAGATCCAGGAATGAATTAAGGTACATGTACATATCCCATGTCTGCATCAAAAAAAGAATTCTATGCTACTGATCATGATATGCTTTATAACGTGTTGAAAACGAAGTGTATGTACTTTCCATCCAAGCTTAAACTGAACATTCTGGCACAGATTAGACTGATGGGCCAGAACATAGAATTTGTCTCGCAGATTACGTATCTGGGTCATAGGGTCACGTGTGACATAAAGGATAATGCAGACATTGACCACCAACGTCGCTTGTTTTGTGTGAGAGCAAACTTACTTCTTAGGAAATTCGTTAAATGCAGCTATGATGTTAAATGTATCTTGTTCAAAACGTATTGTTATAATATTTATTGTTCACAGTTGTGGTGCTTTTTTAACAAAGCAACCCTTAATTCTTTGAAGGTTTCTTATAACAACCTATTCTGTAGACTTTTTGACTATCCATATGACCACAGTGCCCGATCCATGCTTGTTGCTAACCGTGTCAAATCATTTTATGAAACTTACAGGAATATAGTATATAAACTTAGAGAGCGTGCATGCTAGTCCAACAACAGTATATTAACTAGTTTATGGAACAGTGATTTGAGATGGAGGTCAGCCTTGTTGCAGCGTTGGAATGAAATGTTGAACTGAGATGCTATGTGCAATTATGTAATAGCAAGCGAACTATCATTTCCTGTTTATGTTTCTTGTTCTTTCTAGTATTTATTTACTATTATTATTATTATTTTGTGTGTGTGTGTGTGTGTATGTGTGTATGTGTGTGTGGATATGGACTTATTTGTCTGAAATAAAAAAAATAGTATATAGTATAGTATACAGTGAATTGAAAATCTGCCCACTGATAAGTTGGCCAGTGACTTTGATTGCCAAATAAAAATGACATCTCACTCACAATCGTAAATAAAAAAAAAATGTAGAGATTTTCAACTGCATCGACTGCATTGATCATCAAACTGGCACAGAAGTCCTAGGCATCTACCAAAACGGTATTCTGTAACTTCTGTGATCACAGCTGGAAATTTGGCCACAATTTTGCTATGACACCCGATCAGATAGGGCCTCAGAAATACACATGTATGAATAGACTTACTGTATGGATTCACAGAGAGGGATGAATTTCACGGATACAAAACCATGATGTAATCAGACGATGGAAATGTAGTTGCTCAGTACACTTTTGATTTTAGATTAATAATAGTTTTTCATACATGTCTAACTATATCCTGACGAATGGTTTCATGAAACCAATTTATGAATAGATAATTACCGCTGTAGTATTTTGTGGGATAGTTTGCTATATACATGCATGTGTAGAATGGTTTAATGCATTTGATAGGATGCAATTTTTTGAGTCAAATATCCAAGATCTTTGGATATACTCATCAGTATCTATGGAGATGATCACTCACTAATATATTTTTTCACAGATGCACTGAATGATTTTATTCGCAATTCCTCATAAGTGAAAACTTCAGTACACCCTAGTTGTATGCCCTTGTCTGCTTATCCGTCCTTAGTAACATTTATGCAAATTCATTTCATTCGTTTTAGAAAAGAAATTCCATGCAATCGGACTTGATTCAGCCATTCCTCGTCAATGACAATAACACAAATGAAGTGATAACTCGTGCCAGGAAAACCATAATAACGCATCTACTATTCGCGATCTTGACTATAGCTTTGATTACTGTGGTTGTGTTATTGGTTATCTGGATGATCTGTGTACCGCCTAAGCCAGTCATCAATTATGCATGTAAAGATCCCTGCATGTAAGTAATTAATTTGAATGCCAATGTCGCATACGACTTGTTTACCACTTCCGTGTTACTGAGAATGTTCTAGAACCGTACTGTGTCTGGGTGGAATATTCTAGATTTTTTTTTACAAACTGGTTGAATAGGTAATAGGACACTGTAGAAGGCGATAGAAGGTAATGGAACATTCTAGAAATTTGTAGTAAATTTCAGACTCATTATGTATGCTGATGTAATGGTCTATTTATAGACAGTGTGGGTATATATAAGGGAGTTGTTCAGCACTGTGATCAGATCGGAGATCTCGTTGAATTGTATTGGAGTTTAAGTATCTAGTTATTGGAGTAGTGGAGTTTTACCGCGTTATTGTACTTGATGTTTGCAGAGTATAATAATACCAGTACCAGTTGAAACCTCATCTGTTGGCTCCGTGTTCGTATTTTATCATCGCCGCCAGGGAAGTCTTTCTGTTACTGTTGCCATTTTGGTATTTGAACCATCACACCTGTACTATACCAATTACGGTAATATTACGTTGCGTGTGACAGCCAAAATCAAATTTTGAAGCCTGTTGCGAAATAAAAACCCACATTATTTTTTTTCAGAATTTTTTTGAAAATTTTGCCTAAATTATGTTCAAAGATTATCAAAAAAAATATAAAAAAATGCAAAAAAAAAAATCGGCAAATGTTACACCAAAATTTTGGGAGAAAAATCATGGCACACAAAAAAATTAAATTTGTATAATAGCTGGAGTCCCCACAATATCCTGGTTGTCTGACCCCCCCCCCCTGTATTGTTTTTCTTACATAGCCCCAAGTTACAGTTGAACGAGTGAACGTAGCCCTGTGATCAAATATCATATGCAAGTGTTCTAATGGACAGTATTTTATTTGAATGCAATTTCAAGACCAGACACTTTTGTTGGAGCTCTAAACGAGTGGAAATAACTATTATTTCTTAACGGGAAAACAGAACCAACATGGCGGGATACAAACAAGGAGAACAGAGTATGCGTAGAATAGTGTGAAACGAACACAAGAGGGCGTCAACACGATTCATAAACACACATAGTGGCCCTGGACAGAGAATGTTTTAACACTTAATTTATACATCATGGGCCAGATGTGTGATGTTTTATTCAAGAGAGCTGCAATTTTAATTGTGTATGTGCTTTAAACTTGAGCATTTCTACCTTTCAAAATTTGACATGCGTAGATCACGTATTCACAAGCGGGTGACATTAAACGTTTTGCCATTCATAAATCGATATTGAACATAAACATAAACATAAATTTTTTGCAAGTGTTTCCTGATTTTGTTTTTTCTACTTAATAACATAATTCCATCTGATGAGTATGTTTAAAATGATTTAAACTTTGCTGTAATATCTATCTACATGCTACCCCTGTTGTCTCAGTCTGTTTTCTCTGCTTTGCTATCGAAATATAAAAAAAAGGATGGAAGCAACTTTGGTTTGTACATGATTAAAAAAAATAATAATTTTGAATAACAGTCAAATTTTAAATAATTTCAAATGGATTTCAAAAAATGTATGGTTTGAAATTTTTTTAAATATGTACAGAGTATTAATCTTACATATTTTTTTTTATTCAATGATAGTATTTTAAATGTTTTGTTACAAAGAGCACATAATATTTAAATAATAATAATATTTAAAATAATACAAAGTAAGATATTCCGGTAGATAATGAATATCAACAACAAAATAAAAAATAATTGAAATAGAGTAAATATTGACATAAATAAAAAATACATGCCATATAGTACATCAGATTTGAATATAATTATAAACCCTTTTTTTTCAGAATCACATTAGTTGAAAGTATTCCTGAAAATCTGACATATCCAACGAATTTTTCCCAACATTTATCAATATTCGAAGGATGGATAAACTTGATAAACATGGCAGAACACAGTATAGACATAGCTTCATTTTACTGGTCTCTGAGAGGGTCTGATGTCATACCTGACCCATCAGACTGGCAGGTAAGTTAAATTTAGTGTGATACAGTAGAATACCACATATGTTACTTACGTCCTACTGAATTGAACATTAGAACCAGCAAAAAAAAGTTGCTGGTCAATTTTGTTTTTAAAATTGATGTGATTGCACATTTTTTATATTTTCATTTAAAAATACATATCATAAAACCAAATTGGTTTTTTGATAATTTTTTTTTTGGACCTTGGTGTATTGTCCATGCTAATTCACTACGTTCAATTACCCACCATAGACTCCGCTCAGTCAAAATGACTATTTTGAACTGTAGGCATTAATCAGCGATTCTGCCGGTTACGGAGAGATAGAATCTAGGTCAGGGGAAGCCCCATGACCTCAAGATTCTTTTACCCCTTACGTCACAAACCCATGTGACCGAGGCCACATGGCAGCTCCATAGGTAGCCGTCAATCACTCTGATTTTTTCTCCGCCTCGAGTGGAGATGAAATCTAGCGAGCTCTGCTGGATCACCTGCTTTTTTTTCCTGTCCGGGTTTCTAGCTTGGGTTGTTGCTGCTGCACGGCATCCGACATTGTAGCTGGTAGGATAAGTTTTCCTTGTCATTTTTACCCTCGTGTCGTTTTCCCCTTTGTGTGTAGTATTTTTCACAACAAAGAAATTAAAACCTGGTGCCTCTACGTAACCACTGGTTGGTTTCGCGGCGGCACCTTTTACAACTGTATTTCATTTTTTTCCCTCATGCATGTTTGACATGCTCACAGTCTGTTTTTTCAGGCGGTGGTTTACTCGATTTTTACCGGCTGCAGCGAGGCTGTGCCCCTGGAGGCTTTTCTTCTATGGGGCCCGCTGCGGGTCCCTTTTGTGGAACCTTCCTCGCACGGTGCCGGGTTTGCCTCCGAGTTGAGGGCTTTGGTCGAAGGACTGTCGGGGCAATTGCGTCTCTGGCAGGCCGGGTAGATCAGATGCAGTCGGAGCGAGCTGTCTCCACTGCGGCCCCTCAGTGGGCAAGCAGGAAGAAACTTGAAAGCATGTTTGCATTCAAATGCGTCTCTTCCGGGGAACCCCCGTTCCCAGCCATGGCTCTCCCACTAATTTTGGGTGAGGCCGAGGCTCAGGCACCAGGCCTCCTCTGCAGCCTTGGGCACTGAATGCCAACGGGGTGCTGGCAGCCAAGCCTTCGATCTCGGGGCAGGGCTTTCAGGGCAGGGCACACGTTGACCCCCCTACTTTCAGCCAGCTAGGGTTCGTCGCGCAGTAACGGTACAACGGTAACTAATTTATCCTTGTGTCTGATCTCTGCTGTGGGTTTTGACTCCCTTCTTCCCGACCCACGGGTGTCCCCAGATGGAACCGACCCTGTCATGAGACGCACAGTCGAACACGCTCCCTCTCACATATTTAAAGTGAAAGGAAACTCAGTTCGCTCGCGTCGGATACAGCTGGTACTCCGGGCGGTCCCTCAGAGTCTTCCATTCGCAATGGCTCGGTGAGCCACGCTTTTGGGGTGACCCCCACCCTTGATCCTAAGGCGACCACCTAAGGTTGCTTCAACGCTTATGGGATCACGGGCGTCGGGATCCAAAGCAACCCTGTCGGCACATCTCTCCCTGTCCGTTCGAGTGCGGAGTGGGGCGCAGAGCACGCAAATGGTGTTGATGGGCGGACGTTGGTCAGCCGCGGAGGTGGGGAAGACATTAGGCAACACTTCCCGCTGGACCAAACGCTACCCGGTCGGTGTGGTTTCGGGATCAGACCCCATAGCGTGGGATGAGACCAAAACGCCCCCAACCAGATCCCAAGGCTCCTTCCCCAGACCCCGGTACCACGAATTTCCGTTTGGCAAACCGGGTAAAAGGGGACAGCCGCATTCCATGGGCGTTCTTGCCAATCGGAAGACGACTCATCCAGCCATGAGGGCAGAGTTGCTTGAGCACATTAATGTGCGCGGCAACGACTCTAGAGACCTCGGAGGCAGAACGCACCAGCCTCCTAGAACAGGCGACACTTTTCTGGTGGGCCGCCGCACATCTACGTCCGTCACCCCCTAGTGTCACCTGGCTCTCTTGGCCAGGGCCACTACTGTGCTACGAGATGCGGCCTTAGACGCACATGTTTTCACCGACAACCTGAGTCGGGGGGAGGTACGTCCCCACCTCAGTGACACAGACTGGACATCTTCCACCCTCTTTGTTCAGGGAATGGTGGGTACAGTCTTGGAGCTTTGGAATGCAATGAACCAGAGGGTCCAGCTCGAATCCGCTAGCCAGTTGGCCCTGCCAAGGGCAAGCGGAGTGGCCAGGCGGGTGGCCAGGTCACAACTTAGTGACTACTTCAGGCCTTGGGGAACTCACCTCATGGGAGAAGAGAGCACCCCCCTTGCAACTGCCGAACCCATGGCCGCATATCCCTGTCGTACACAGATTGCGCCGGTGTAGTCCGGTTTGGAGACAGCGGGTTACCGATCCCTGGACCTTTCCAGGTGGTGACATCCTGTTATGGGATACCACTGAAATCTCCATTTCCCCTTCATTGTCTCCCCTGTTGGGCACTGCCAGGGGATTCCCCCAAGGCGGAAGCAACCAGGGTTGGGGAGCGCATCTATTGGACGAACAAGCCCAAGGATATGGCTCCCGCATTAGTTTCAGGACTACCATATCAACCGGCTCGAACTGAGAGCACTGTACTTAGCACTACCACGCTTTCTACCCGTAGTTCGAGTCCTGCTCCACACAGGCAACGCAGCGGTGGTCTCCTTCAAGAAGGAGGGGGGACGCATTCCCCATCGTTGTCGGTCCTAGCGGAGCAAATCCCCTTTGGTGCCTGGAATACAATGTAAAGCTAACCGCACACCACCCTCCAGGGGTGAGGAACAGTCTGGCGATGCCTTTTCAGGGCGACTCCGTCTCCAGAACACGGAGTGGCTGATACCCCAGTGGGTTGCCTCCAGGATGTTTCGGCTGTGGATGGTCCAAGTTTAGACCGGTTTGCCGCACCCCGGAACACCAAGCTCCCAACGTATGTAACACTCCTGCTGACTCCAGAAGCCTAGGCCAGGGTCGCTTTGCTACCTCGAGGACCCTCTTGGTTGTGTACGTCTTTCCTCCCTTCCCGCTAGTTCACCGGGCACCGGAAAAAACTTTGACAGGTGCACACCTGCATATTATCATTGGTCGCACCCAATTGGCCAAGCAGAGTCTAGTTTCCACTTCTGTCGGAAACGATAGTCATAACAGCAGCAGTGCTTCCGGACTTACCGGACCTGCCGTCCCAACCAGACTGCGCACTACCAATGAGCCAAGCGGGTATCACTTACACGCATAGATGCTCTCATTAGACCCGCACATACGAAAGCTTTATCTGAGCGGGCTGTCAACGTCCTGGCCAGGGCGAACTGGGATTCCACCAATGCAGCCTACATTTCTAGGCTGCGAGCATACACTGGTTAGTGTAGCGGAAGGGAGATTGATCGATACCATCCCTCTATTGGCCAGGTAGCAGGCTCCTTCGTCCACCTGTTTGACGAAGTGGGTTTGTCCTACGCAGCGATCATTGGCTACAGTCCGGCCTTGTCCCCCACCATTCAAACGTACGGGAACAAGACTAACCGATTGTCCTGTTATTAGGAGACTATTAACTGCTTTCAAGATGCTGAGACCCCATACAAGGGAACCGCCCAACTGGGACTTGTCGGCTGTGTTGTCCA